CTCAAGAGCGGGATGTTGCTTGTCCTGCTCTACTGTGTGTGTACTGTTATGCACATTGGATTAGAAAATTTTCAAAGAGCTATATTAATAATAAATGCATATGGAACCTTTAATGTGCCAATTAAATAATTGTAGTTCTTTAATGTTTAATTTGAATTAAGTAATTAATACAAAATGAACTGATTAGGCGTGTTTGCTTTTAAATGAGGCATTATATCTCAGAGTAAATGATAATATAGCAAAACAACAACTGAATTCTGATTGGCCTGACCCCACCAACATAACAGCTGGCCAATCAGAGCCCCAGCTGCTGCTCTATGCGTTCAGTTCACTTTGATTATTTTCGAGGTTGGGTGTAATTAAATGTGGAAAATTATGAAATAGAAACTATAGAAAGTAGATTAATTGTGGTGATAACATTTGACAGCCAGCATTTAAAAAAAAAAAAAAGTCTTGCTGTTAACATTTTGAAATTCAATCATTACTTTATCAGAATAAGAGTAAAATCATTAACCCGCAGCTTTTTTTATTTTTAATTATTAATGCATAATTTAAATGCAAATTTTGTTTTTCATTACTGTTGAAGTAGCACACTTTGGACTCCTAATGTGCAGGCTTCTTAAAGATGTTACTGTTTATTTATTTAGTTGTGTTCAGCCCCACCCACCCACTCATGAAGACTATTTATATTTTTCCACAGGCATTAGAGAAATCTGGCCAAATGTCATGAGCGTGATGCTGCAATGAAAGCTTTTGTTCTGCAACACATTAGCCTGATGTTTACTGTTCAAAAAGATCTGATTTAACGGAGATTAAGTTTTTGCACTGGAGAGCTGCCATTCGTGTCTTTCGCAGATGTTTGTGGATCTCACTGTACGGCTTTTGGCAGAGAACCGAACCAGAAGGAGGTTACACGAGGAGGATCACCTGTTAGGGGGCTGTTACTGGGAAAAGACAGAAGTTTTCTTTCAAAAAAGGATTATCCATGAACCTCTAACAAGGTGCTGGAACTCCCTCTCCACCAGTGAAACTCTCAATGACAAACAGTACAGGCCTGTTTCACTGTGCACAGCCAAGAGAAACAACTCCTCAATTAATAAAACTTCTACCAGCACATTCTGGACAGTGTGCCACTGCACTGATTGTTTCATGGGTCATTACATGAACAAATAAACAGAATCTGGCCATTGATAACACGCATATGGGAACCATGAAATACATCATTGCATTACCTCATATTGAACACAGTTGAATTAAATCCATGGAGTTTGAAACAAATCTAAATCAATTTAGTCAATAATGCAAAACAGACATAAAAACCTAACCCAGAAATTAAAATGCAGAGAATGTAATTAACACATACTTCCCTGTGGGGTGTATCCAGAAGCTCCTTTTTACCTCTCTTTTTAAAGAGAACAGACACCTCTCCTCTGATCTTAGACAACATGTGAAAATATGAGATAAAGACTGTTCAGTCCTAACACATTCATATGTTTGGCTGGTCTTTTATAATCTGCAATAATCCCTTGATGTACTGGGCATGCTCCATAGTCCAGCTATATCTGAACACCAGTGTGGAGAGGACTGAGACAGCCGCTTCCTGTGTTCTCATTTTCAAACATCCACCTAATGCAATTGTGTGCTTCCCTAAGGAACCTTGAGGAAATGCTCTGAAGGTCTATGACTCAAAATTTCAAAGAGCAAAAAGTTCCCTGATCATAGTGACCCAGTTCCCTCTGAAGCTCACCTCATGAAGTCAGTACTAAAGAACAGACTGCGGTGGAGGATAAAAGCAGAGGATGAGGGATTTCTCTGCTTCTACCTCTTTCCCCTCTGTTCTCACATCTCAGCTTCTCCCAACATGCAGAACTGATTTAACTAGCTTTAATGGTATTTGGTTAGGATGTCACCTTTGACCTTCAAACAAAAACTGTGGCAGGGAGCAGCTCAACAGATCCCTGTGAGGGACAGTGGGAACGAGGCTGGATTAAAAACAGGAAACAATAGTGTTTGGGGAGCTTACCCCAGTGTATTCAACAGATTGGTTACACAGGGAGAGAGCATCGCTGCACAGAAGCCAAATGTTGCTGCTGCACCATTTCCATGCAGGAATGAATGAATGACGTTTCACATCGTACGTTTTCTGTATCTGTCAAATTCACTGCTGGCCTAGGAAGAAGACCGGACAGATGTGACATGTGACAGCAGCTGCTTAATCGAGGACTGATCCTGGTTCAAACCCGGGGGTAGAGGAAAGTAACGGTGGGACAGGCAGAAGCAGGCGAGGTTGTAAACAGCCTTCTGTTTTATTTTAAATTTGATATGTACAGAAAAAAATGGCTGTATACATTTCTTAATATATCATGTAAAAGTTTTCTGGAAAAAACAAAACAATTGCACATCAGTCTTTTTTAAAAACTTTCAAACACATGGTGGTACAGCACGGTTGAAGGCGATGTTAAACGAGATACAAATACAAAAGGTTCAGTAAAGAGTACCCCAAGAATGACACATTGATATATGACATTAAAAATGTTTAAGAAACACGCTGCGGGTTGTGTCACAGACATCGTGTCCCTCTTTGTGTAAAATATTTGATATTGCTGTATATCAGGCACTTATCAGCTGAACAGCAAAGTCCATGACATGTAGAACATGGGTCTAATACATCCTTCTAAATGTGCTAATCCACATGTTGAGGCGCACTAGTGTTCACAGCAGGAAGTGCTGGCCGCTACAACCACACACTTTAACCTAAAAACCATTCAGGGCAAGTATCTTTGTACCCACACCAGCACAGTTTGTATCATATTTGGTTCAGTTTTCATCAGTTCCACTGTAGCGTGGACATAAGAACACATCCACTGGAAAGGGCCCTCAGTGTGTGTTGTTACACCCATACCATACTGTACATAATGCAGCAGGGACTTTTAAAATTGGCTTAAAGCAGAGTCGTATTATGAACTTTCCTGGGGTTAAAGTACAGTTTCATACACTGTAATAATGCCATTTAATTGTCCTTTTTTTCTTCATCTTCTTCAATTTTTTGTTCATCATTATTACCTCTACTAAGCCTCTATCTTTCCCAGTGAGGGTCTTCATTAACCAACAGGAGATAATGTATGTCATGCAGCTTCACTCTGCATACGGAGAGTGTGGAGGAGTGGAGGGCAGGCCTGTCTGTTTTCCGCAGATTTTTTGCATTTCCCTTTTGATTCAAATTCAACCTCGGTCTCGTTTGTTCGCCTGCAGGCGCAAATAATCATGTCACAAACATAAGTGATTTCAAAGAAGCATAGGTTCAGACTAAGAGGATCAGTTGCTGCCTACTGCAACGATTACAGGGCAGTGATTTTTATATACTGTATGCCATCAATGCCAGAGGTCTTCTTTTGACCTACAACTAGAGCGGCTGATTAGTTCCTCTGCTCTAGTGGACGAAACATTACCAATCAGCAGCTGTAGGGTTTGATTGGAATGAAAAAGTAAATATCGCTGCAAACACGGGGCTGGCATGATTCATAGTCAGAACTTCACTGGTTTAAAGGGTCAGTTTATATAAATTATAAAAAGGCATTTGTCTGTTCATGCAAATACTGTGGTTTTGGTTTAATTTATCCACATTTTGAGGCTATTCCCTCTATCCTAATATAAATGAGTGTGGCTACCATAGCTTATTACTGTAATTGTATTGCACCATCTGCTTTTTTATAACCCTCCTGTGTTGGAGTATAAACTCTTCCACACAAAAAAAAAACATGGTCAGGAGTCATAGGTACAAATTTGTCTTTTGGGCAAACTGAGCAACTCAGCTAACAAGTGTGGTACCAGCTAGCAGGCTAGCTAACAACACAGACCATGGCTGTGACTCACTAGCACTGCCAAAAGCCTTCATACAAACTAAAATGAACTGTAACATGCACTTTTTTAATCTGTGATTTTTCATTGTTGTGGCCACCACAAACAAAATTCTATTCACCTCCATTTGAGCATCAGGTTTGAGATGGATGTCTCAAAACTTGGGCAAATAAAATCAAAACTACCTGCATTTTCCACATTCCTGTAAGGCAGCAGCCTCAGTTGATCCATTGCCTGCTGTGCCTTTTAAGCAAGAGCTCCTGCCTACATCTTCTTTGTAAATCTCTCTGGAGAGCAGTGCCAGCTAGATGCTTTAAAAGGTAAAAAAATAAAAATAACAATACAGAAAGCAATTATACCAATTGAAATCAATTAACTCCTGAGGACAATTTTGCCTTTTGTTAAAAACAGCAGAAAAACTCCAGCTACTCTCCCACTGGGAGGCTCATTGTCCCTCCACCCATCTTTATCCTGGCTCTTTTTGTGATTTTATTCCTCTCTTTATGTCAGAAGCCGGGCCCGCTGTTGGTGCCTCTGGTGGCAGTGTTCTTTGGCTCTGGCAGGCAGCAGGTGGCTTGTGATGAAAAATTCAGTGCAGAACCTGCTCGGGAGGCGAGGAGGAGGAGGGTGGCAGCGGGTAGCAGGGGGAAGAGGAAGGGGAAGGGGAGGGGTGAGATGAGAGGAAGGTGGGAGATGAGTGAGGACTGGTGAGCGGAGGAGAGGAGGATTAAGGTGGCGGTGCTGAGGTAGAAGAAAGATAAGTAATGCACAGAGAGGCGACAAGAACAACGAGCGGAAGATGGAAGCCAGAGCTCCAGCAGACAGGCTGGTGGGCCAGAGAGTCGAGCCCAGAGCGGCACAGGGGGCCAGGCAGAGGATCAGAGCTGTCTACCCTCTCTGCAGAGTCTCCTCCACAGAGATAACACATGATATGAATCATTTATGAAGGGGGCTCTTTTTTTTTTTATTAATAACATACACACACTGTGACCTGCTTCTTTTATACACTTTGCCTGGTTTTTTCTGCTCCCTGGGGAGTAACTCAAGTGAGAGAAATGATCAGCGAGGAGAAAACACTGCAAGTACAGAAAACAGAATGCCG